AACCGATCGATAGAAACAAGTTTCGAGGGTACGGATCTGATCGGATGCCACCGGGGAAGGCCAAGGAGTAACGGACGGTGTTGTGGTCCCTGATGCAAACCAATGCGCTCAAACCGACAGTCAATTGAAGCAGTTATGTGCTTCCACCTAATCTGATTGGACCGCATGAAAGCGAAGTCGATTCGGGTCTGATGGCTACCATGCAGAAAGGTGGGTACGTATTTCTGCTTGCAATGAACTGCAACCAAGGATAATTCACGAATCATGAGTTGGAAGTCATGTTTATCGGTTTGAAGTGCCTGGTCAAAGCGTGGATCATGACTGCCAATGGATTGCGAATCGCGTTGTAGCGGACAATTGAAGTCCCCTATAACAACCATCATGTGGCTTTGAGGAGTATGTTGAATACACTGACGGAGTTTCCCCCACAGGTCCTGCCTTTCTTGCAACAGAGCACGGCTTGACTTGGTCGTGCTCCAGGCCGTCTGATATATAGTGTACAAATCATGGACCCTGTCTAGCATCAAGCGAATATGCAACAATCTGCCTGGAATCAACACCGCATACGCCAACATGGATGCTCGGATCAATGTTTTGCGGATCATGATAAGCTGGCTCGCAGCGGCCTCTTGAGAGTGAATGCAATACCAATGTTCAGTTTCCCATTGTCCATTGAACTTCCAGTTGGATTCTTGAATCAAGAGTACATCTTCGGGTCGGCCCGAGGCCCAGGCTAACCATTCATGGTAACTCAAGCATCTTGTGGCATTCCAGGAGAGAATCTTTAGAACAACACCAGATTGTTGTGCCTGTCGAGATTGAGGTTGCAGTGTTGACCTCTGTATTTCAGCCTTCAAAGGACCTCGCAACCGAAAAGGCACATCGGATGCTGTGAAGCATCTGCCATGGTAGCTAGTGTGTCCAGCTTGTAATGCACGTTTGCATGCCCTGCGAAATGAACGCTTGATACGCCTTATTCGAGACTGGTGCACCAACTGGCCGTAGCCAAACATCGCCCAGACTTCACTGGCTTTCGTGCATGTCTTAGTAGGTGCATGGGAGTGCATTGCACTTTCGCCAACCCGTGAAGAAAGGTTGGCAACCCTCACGCCAGGCTTGAATCCTTGTGGTACAAAAGGGGGAGCATCTGGGTTCAAGCCTCCCGGACTTGGGACCGGGAGATCCAATTCTGTGGACATCTGGTGGATCAAAGCAGCTATGGTGAATATCGAAAGGAACCACATGCCAATCTATGGAAGGAAAACCACAAGATCCATGGCAGTGGGCCCCCAGACACGGCCGCGGACACTTGAACTGGAAATGGCGCTTTGAAAAAATATTCTAATGCATATATATTGATTTTCGGAATAAATATCGATGCATAATTTTCCATAATATCGTTGAAATGAATTTCCCTAGGAAAAATTAATCAATTAAAATAGAATATGCAATTGATTAATAAATTATCTGTCTTCCATCCTCTGAATCAAGATGCAATTCCTCAAGATATTGTAATGACAATACAATGGAGATTGGATATCTTTGTAAAATTTCAGAAGCCTCCGAGTTCTATAATTTGATCTTTAAATTTATAATCGACGGCATTACCCAATTAATTCTAATCTGCATTTGCCAACCCAATCTTCAGAAATTATCCCTGATGAATGTCATTTCATAATAATGAAGGAAATAGATCGAGTTATATTTCATATTCAATTAGAATCTTATTAGGTTTTAAAGTCTCGATTTGGATATCCCGAGATATGTAGGCCCGTTTGAGTTCGATTAAAAGGTCGTCGATGGCATTCAACTTCAATTTAATAATTCACTAGTATTTTTTAATTTTAAATAAGTATTGAAGACATATCGTTATTATATCTCTGAGGATTGATGTGTGTTTCTATGTTATTTTTGATTATTTCATTCCCAGATTTGACGGGCATCGTGGATATAATATTTCTCCGCCCATACTGGAGGAAAAATATGAAAATCTTATCTAAATTTAATTCGATTAGGATATATTCTTATCGAAATTACAACCAGGCCAAAATTCGAGGAAGGTCGCTATTTCCATCGGATCTTCCATCCGATGTGGTGGCCAAGCAGGTTGAATATTGGCGCATATATTCTCAGCCATTCCGAGGTTGGCCAGATAAGGCATCTACGCAGGGCCTCTTTTGGAAGTATTGGCCACAAATTTCCATGAAATCAATATAGGATTGATCGTCGGAAAGCATAATTTCGCCCATCGTGATTAGCAAACTCTCTCCACAAAGATTAATCTTGGATCAATATATTTTTCATTAGCTAGAAAATATGATATAATATATTTAAATTGGTCATTAAGGTGTTTATGGAGCAGATAATGATTAAGTTCCTCCGATAAAGGGTTAGTTGAATCCCACGTCCAAAATACAGGCGGATATCAATGCAAATTGACGAAAAAATGGAATCCTGAGGTAGGCAAATCTGAGGCAAAAACGGGAAATATGAAATTTAGCGGACGGATCGAACACATTAATATAGTAATATTTTAGGCATGAAAATCATAGATCTGTTCAGAAATAAATCCCGTAGAATATAGTGATTGAATCTTAAATAATGTAAAATAGGTCATTTCCGCGGAGAATAAAGCAAAACAATATTTGCGCGCAAATCTTCTTAGTATCATGTCTTTGGCCGGATTGGAGAAGAAATTAGGCGATTTCAATATATTATTTGAAAGAGGAGGGGGTGAACGAAAGGTGGCAAGGAATCAGGCGTAACCCTGGAGGAGGCCAGGGCCCCCCCCCTTATCGAACAGAAGCTCTTTCTAGAGGATCAAAATTCAGGCAAAGCATCAAATACTAAGTGTGAGATATTATTGCGACATGAGGGGAATTGAGGTAGGTCAAGCTATTTAGCGTGATGAAAATTTGAAATCTCCAACAATCGAAAAACCCTTTCCGATAAGCTAAAAACCCTGGTATTAATGGTATTTACGGTGTTTTGTGGCCACTTTGAAGCGTACATAACTTGAAACCATCCCAATGTAAAGGGTTTTGTGGCAGGAAGGTGCAGAAGCCCGTGTCAGTACCGTCGCTTTGTGCCACTTTGAAGCCTCCAAGAAGCCCTTTCCGCCACAAAAAAACCTGCAAATAGCGTGGTTTGAGGCCACTCTTGAAGATAGGAAGGGCTACAAACACATGAAACCACTAGTATTTACGGTGTTTTGTGGCCACTTTGAAGCGTACACAGCCCAAAACCATCGCAATCTACATGGTTTTGTGCCGGGAAGGCGCGCAAACCCGTGTAAATACCGTCGTTTTGTGCCATTTAGAAGCCTCCAAACGCCGAAAAAACCCTTTCCGACAAAATCTTTCCATTTTTTTTGCATTTTTCGACCATTTTTGAAGCCTAGACACTTCAAAAACCATCGGTTTTTACGAGGTTTTGGCCGGACAGCCACAGAACACCATGTAAATTGCGTGGTTTGAGGCCACTCTTGCGGAGAAGCTGAAAACACTTGAGAGAGGAGGGGATGAACGAAAGGTAGCAGGCAATCACAAATAACCCTGGTAGAAGTCCACGACGGCGTGAACCGGCGCAGGGAGGATTTGATCCCCCCCCCCCCCCCGACGAACAGAATCAACTCTTACAGGACCAAATTCAATGCACAATCCCAACTCCTGATTGTAATACATGTTTGCTAAAGCAAGGAGAACTCAGGTAGCTCAAGCTACCTTTCGTGACTTGTAATTTCAATGCTTTGCAGCTGTTGACAAAGACCCGCGCCAGGGTGGAGTTGAAAGGGCCCCCCCCCCTCGGCCCTCAAGAGTAAATGTCAGAGGCGATTTGGCTAAATATGGACAAGGATCTTTCATGGATATATCGAGTATGTGTAAGCTCCAAGAATCCCTGCAATTATGATTAGATGTTGTGCATGGTGGGCAATGCGACCTGAAGGGATTTAAAAAATATCCCAAAATAGATCCCAAATAATTTCACAACGATTCGTTTGGACCAAGATTAGTCAAAAGCGATTTCTTCGTATGCCTTATCTTCTCCCAAGAATTTGTTCGGTTATACTCCCCCTCTAGCTGATGAATATGTTCATAAAAAAGAAAATATCCAATGGGTCTCATAGGCACATTATCAGGCACCATATCTATCAACAATATGAAACGGGCCCCTACGCGAACCCGCTTCTTTCGCGGGTGTCCGATTCTGCCACAGGGCTCGGCCAATCAATGTGGCCAGGGCTAATCAGCGCGGCCAAAGGACAACAACAAGATAAAAGGAGGATAAGACCCGGCCACAAACAAGAATGCGGCCAAAACAAGCACAAGAGGAGGATAAGGCCCGGACACAGAGCGAAGCCACAAACCAACCACAGCTCCCCTTGCGCGGCCGAAACCTGTGCGACGCCTTCGACACGGGGGGTGCCGTGGACTCGGTGCGCCGCTTCGCCACGCGCAACGTGCGGCGGCTGGTGATCCGATACCGGAGCAACCGGGTCGTTTTGGGCGGCAGGAGGTGTCTTTTTCCAGTTCCTGTGAATCTCCTAGCGTTGGGAATCTTTTGGGCGGTTCCTGGACAGATCCAAGGCAATCAAGTGATGCCACCAGAGGATTTGCTGCCGCGGGTGGAGACGCTCTTGACACGGCTAAGGGGCTTTGGATTGACCGAAGGTTTACATGCGGATTCTGGAGAGTAGCTTCGATGAAGCCATCATGATGCTACATCAGTTGGAAAGTCGAATGTTGCAGATGTGCTCAGATGCTTTTGACCTTTGAAAGATTACTTGGCCGAATGTTGACGCGAGCAAGCTAAGGTATACCTGGTACAAGCTGAATGAGTGGATGCAAGTCGAGATCCTACAGATTTTTGGCCAGAGTTTGGAGAGTGAACCCTGGTACAGGTTCCCTTACTTTGAATTCTTGCGGCTGTATTTCAATGTACTGTTTCAAGAGTCTTCTTTGGTACAAGACAAGTTTGGATTGAAGAAGGCCTTTGGAAGCATGGCCTTTATCACTTCGCTTGTACCTGGAGTTGTCATGGCAGTGTTGTTTGCGCAGCTGAAAGTGCTTTCGACTCCATTGCTTTTGATGCCTGGCTTTGGGGAGAGCTATGATGAGGAGGCAGCGCGTGAGCAGCTCGTGGTCCTTCGTCCAAAGGATGCACCCCAAATCAACTGGAAGAGGATTGATGAACGAATCTCTGAGATCACCTGCCCCGTGCAGGGCTTGTACATCATGAAAGTGCCAACCTTCAAGGCCCGGGCCATTGAGGAAAACCTTTTTTTGAAAGATTTCCACTGCAGGAGAATAGTCGATTTTGCAACTATCATTTTGAGCTGAAAACTTGCCGATTACGAATCCCATTTCGTTATATCATATCATGTCATATCTCCCAAAACCTGCAAGATGTTTGCCCCTGGGATCTTCACAGGTCCTCACAGATATTTGCAAGCTTTTGGCCAGAGATGAGAACATGACCATTTTGGAGATCTCTTCGCAGAAGCAGGTGCAGATGAAGGTCTCGAGCAGGTCAGACTGGAGCAGCGAGCTCAACAGCCTGCCAGGCTGCCAAGTGGCGGTACACTTCTCATATCCAACTGATGGCATTCCCGGAGTTCCTTGTACCCAATGGGCCCTTCAAGTCGAGGTGCCTTACCTCCTCAGCACCATGCGGGCATGTGATCGACGGGGCATTCGAATTGAGCAGGTCTACGACTTCTACAACTAGTTTGAGTCAACTCAGGTATGCCTTAATGGCGTCAAAGTGAAAGCAGATTTGTGTCACCGGCAGTACTTGTTTTGCATCGTTTTAGTGGTCCGATTGAGGTCATCAAATGAATCCCTGTGGCTCAATACAGTAGCCCAAGTCTGACCACCTGTACAGTTCTCATTGCTGGTAGTGACTTTTTTTAGAGTCTAAATGCGGGTTTGCCCAATGCAGGGGCAGCTGACCCTTGTTGAAGCAGGAGATGCTCTCCACCTAGGACGCCAGGAGCGAAAGAGGTCGGCCTTGATTTGACTCGCATTTTGTGTTTCACACGCCATGTGTTCATCCATGCCAGGAAATCTTTGGCACGACCAGGGAGAATAAGTTTCCGCCAATCTTTGCACTGCAGGAAGTTCAATGGGTTCAATGCGAAAAGGTTTGCCAAAAAATGAGGGATCCATTTTGTTGCACGCATCTGTTTTTTTGCACGTGCCATGCCACGAGAAAAGAATCAAGGTGTGGCGACGTGTGGTGTTGAGTGTAGTCACGCTGAGAGACAAAAGTCCTCGGTCTAGCGACGCGTTGCTGCGACGGTGGTGTTGCGCTGGTGCTTGTGCTTGTTTGTGTGTGTGGTCTTGTGTGAGGTGGTGCACTGCAATGTGGTGGTTTTGTTCTGTGGAGAAGTACGTTTTCCTTCTGTGATGAAGTTGAAAGTGATGAGCGCTGTGGTTGTTTGTCACTGAAGGTGGGGATACATGGTGTGGTGAAGTAGCTGCAGCTTAACACAGATTGTTCACTGCTAGTCCTGCACTAACTGATGGGCAAAGGATGGCAGCACGTGCACAATAATGAGCCAACACCTTTTTTGAGCCTTTTGTTGGCACAGGAGAGATGGAACGTTCAAGAATGCTTCAGGTTGGGGTCGGTGGAATGAATCATGTTTTTGGTTGGTTGGTTTGTTGATGTTGATGTTGGTTGGTTATTCTTTTGCAATTTTTTACCTGCTTTTTCGACCGTAAGATTGGTAGTGCGGTGCGCGCTGAAAGTGCAACAAGATATATGTTCCGACCGGTCAGAGACAGCAAGGCCGACTGCAGAAGTTGCTGCTATGTCATACTAGGGAATTTACTGTAGCTTCCCCGGCTGTGCTTTTCACATCTTGTCAGCGTTTTTCAAGCTGCTTGGCTCGGCAGCTCTCGAGCTCCGACAAGTGCCAGGTAGAAGTTGAATGTGCTCACTCCTAGAAGTCCAGTTCGGCTATAGTAGGTTCCAGATAGATATATAGATATATAGAAAAATTAGATATTGATATTACATAATAATAATACAAATAAAACTACATGATAAAATATGTCGACTTATTTGCATTTTGCTCCGCTGAAGTTCAAGTATCGTCAAATGGACCGTCCCAGGCTTCCAGCTTTGTTCAGTCACAAGAGGAAGGCTCGCTGGAGGGTTGGACCCTTGAGCTCCAAACCATGGCCGCGCACAGGCTTGGCGCCGCACTGGACCCGTGGTGTACCCATGGTGGCCATGGTGTACCGGCCGTGTTGTGATTTGGTGGAGCGGCCTGGAGCGGAATGTGCCAATGTAATGCGGTATGATGCGATGAATGCCGAAAAGAAAACAACTTGTGTGTGGGTGGCCATGGGTTGTCGGTTCGATTGCACATGAAAGAACCGTCAAAGTGAGCTGGTTGAGTCGCCTTGAGGCGACCAGACGGCCTCTCCCGCGTGAACCCAGATCTCCGACGCCTCGACGCTCCGATGTGACGGTGAAAATTTTCTTGTCTCCTGCACACTGGCAAGGCAAGTAAGGCCAATAAAGCCTTGCAACTGAAGCCTATTGCATCCTTTTGCACCTTACTACTTAGACCCAGCAACCAACCACTCATGACATAGCAAGCAAGAAGACTCCAGGTGTCAACGTGGAAAGAAAGCTGAGGCTTTTCTCGAAGAGTCCGATGGGACTTCTAAAGGGTTGTAGACCAGTTTCAGAACCCGAGAGGACAGGTTCGGGACAGTTTTTTGGAAACAGATTTAAACAAACTGAAGCTTTTGCTCTACGTACGTATCATGGAAAGGGGTCATAGCTGATGTCAAGTTTGTAATGTTACACCTGCACCCTGGAAATCCAAGGGTCATTGTCTAAAAGCGGATGTTTGATCGCAAGATGAAACAATGCGGCCCTTGTGCCGCGTCATTCCATGTGGGGTCTGTAAGTGAGATACGTACGGGGTCTACAATTGCGGCCGTAGTGGTACCTAATAAAAATTCATCTTTATGCACCCACTCACTTTTGCAGCTCCGCATGCGTTTTGTGCTGACGGTTCGGAACTTCAGGCTTTTGAACCAAAAATGTAAGTTCTGAACCTTTTTGGAAGCAAAGTGGAACCACGGATGTTGTATAATGTTCTATAATGCTCTATCATGATACAATGCTCAAGAATCTGAGATGAGGGGAGGAGGGAGGCAGGCTCAAAGATGGGACTTCTAAAGGTTTCAGACCAGTTTCAGACCACCCGAGAGGACAGGTTCGGGACAGTTTTTTGGAAACAGATTTAAACAAACTGAAGCTTTTGCTCTACGTACGTATCATGGAAAGGGGTCATAGACGATGTCAAGTTTGTCATTTTACACCTGCACCCTGGAAATTCAAGGGTCATTGTCTAAACGCGGATGTTTGATCGCAAGATGAAACAATGCGGCCCTTGTGCCGCGTCATTCCATGTGGGGTCTGTAAGTGAGATACGTACAGGGTCTACCGGATAATGAAGGCTTGCTTTTACTTAGGTACCACTATGGTCGTAATTCGAAGCGTCCAATAGTACCTAATTGCGGCTGTAGTGGTACCTAATTAAAAATTCTTCTTTACGCACCCACTCCATGTTCTCCAATAATTTCCGTTGACCATCAGTGACCATATCACTTTTGCAGACCAACAAGAGCAGCACGCGATCTCTCTCTCTCTTTCCCTTTCTTTCTCTTTGTGGGCCCTTCAAATTAGAACTTAATACATATTTAAAAGAAAACGGTTCTTTTTGCAAAGGTAGAATCTAGAATTATTTTTATTTTTCCTAAAAAAATAGAGTCTACTTTCTTGTTTAAGAATATTTCTTAATACAGATGCGACTTTTTTTATATATTTTGTATATTTTAAAATGATTTTGTTTTAATAGATATGGACTGCACTCAAAAAGCCCTACTCAAAAGTTTTAGATAAACGTAAATTTTTAGGGTTGGAGATGAGTTTTAAGTCTTCGTTTAGAAGCGGGCCCCCAGCACTATGGTGATACAGCAAGGCAGCGCTAGATTGGCGCTAGGTTGGTGCTAGGTTTCTTCATAACAGGATAAGCAAAGAAGAAACAAGAAGAGAGCAGGAAAAATGGTAAGCAACACAAAAGAAAGGAAAACCAAAGAAGAAGAAGAATGCACAACAAGAAGAAGACAAGTAAGTAGGAAAACTAAGAATCTGACAGGATGAAGAAATCGACGGAGATTTTTGCGCTAGGCTGGCGCTAGATCCGTGCTAGCACCGCGCTAGACGACGGTCCATTTCTTGAGCATCTGCCCATCCAACACCTGAATGTTTTGAGTCAGCTCTTACGTCCTTCCTATGTCGTTCTGAACACTTCTGAGAATTGGAAACAATTGTAGAAGTCTAGCAGCAGCAGCAGCAGTAGTAGCAACAACAACAACAACAGCTCCAGCAGCTCAATAGGTCCCTGAAAAGGTCCGCGCTAGACACCTCTCAAAATTTTTGCAATTGACATGCCTTTATATTGAACATCCCTATGGTTTAAGTGTGGTTAGAGTTTAAAGGAGGTTTAGAAGCGGACCCCCATGGAATTGCGATGAATACACCATTTTGGGAAAAGACATGTGGAAACCAACCATATATATATATAGAATATTTATTTATATCTATATCTAGTAGGAAAGAATATTCTGTATTTATGAAATATTGTGTGTTAGTTTATTGGTTTTTGATTATTGCGAGCGAGGACTTCGATGTTCTTGAAATATTTTAATTGTTTCTTATAGAGATCGTTTAGAAATGCAAAATAAAATATTGTTTATTTATCCAAAAGATATATTTTTTCTATTTCTTGAATATTTAATCTATTTCGTTTAATTGGGAAAAATAAATTTTTGGGAATATTTAATTGGGAAAATTAAGTTTTTGGGAATATTATTAATAGGAATATTAATATTAATAATTATTTATATATTTTTAAGAAAGTATTTATAGATAAATATTATATTACAAATTCGTATTCGATATTTTTTTTAAATATATTAAATAAAATATATATAATAAAAAATATTTAAATTATATAAATTAAAATTTTTTATAAAGAATTTAAATATATTATAACAATTTTTGAAAATTTTATAAAAAAAATTGTATTCGATATTATTTTAAAATATAATTTATTTATTAAAATAAATATAAATTAAATTAATTATATATTCGATTATTGCCGAGATTATTTATATCTTATATATATAATTTTATACAAAATCTAAATAATTAAATATATATTTTTTTTTAAAAAAAATAAGAATTCCTATTATTATTCATAATATTATTTATAAATTATATATTTTAATATAATATAACGATTCTTAATTTATTAATTAAAAATTATTTTTATACATTATTAAAATTATATATTTAAAATATATACCCATAAATTAAATTTAACCGAAATCGCGCTAATATCTTTAGCTAAGCGAAAATAATTATACATACAATAATTAAAATAATTCCATAATATAATATCTATATATATATAAATAAATTTTATAAATCGAAACAGAAATTTATTATATATTTAATGATTGTTTATTGTTTAAAAATTCAAATAATATTTTAATTATATATATATAGAATTATATGAATTATATTTTATATAATACGATTATTAATTGTTTAATTTAAATAAAAAATTTGGATATATGAAAATATATGTATAATTCTATTTTTATATATATTAATTCACCTAAAATGATTTTTTTATTTATTTTAGTAGTCGTTGCCGAACATTATTTATTATCGTTCGAATTATCCTTGTTTTTTATATATATTATGTATATTATATGGATTCTACCTTAAATACTTTATTACCGGAGTTCTATTTTAAAAGAAGAGAGAATTGGCCGCATTTATTGGCCGCGCCCCTGAACTGTGACCATTCCTGGGGCACGCGCGAGGCGCGCCCAGCGCGGCGCCTCGGCCCGACCCGCGTGGGAGACTGACCGTGCCAGTTATGATCCTCGGATGTTTCGGCATGTTTCGGCCGGGTAGGAGATGCAGGAGACTGAAGATTGAGCTCTCATGAGTTAGTTCTTGAGCTGTGGAAGCCACACATGGGTGGGAGTGGACTCCGTTGAGCCGAACACTGCCGACTTAGGATCAACCAGTATCAAACATCGAAGAACCAAAACATCGAAAAGCCTCGAGAGACGGCGGATCGCGCTGAATGTTCATCCCTGCCTGCCCCCAAACCCCCGCCATGTGTCCTGAGCAGTTTCCGTACGGCCGCCGTGACGTCTCGCGGCTTCGCCGTCAGGGAGGTGTACCCGAAGGTGGCGGAGATCACTTCCGACACCTCGCCTCCGGTGGCGAAGAAGCCGAAGACAGCTGCATTTCACCGCAGGACATGGGGCGAGACCCGGGAGGAATGGTTCCGTTGGGGTTTTGAAGCGCGAACACCGTCCCAGAGTTCTTGACACGTTCTGAAAAACCACAGGGGAACATACTGCAATCGCCCATCCCATCAGGGGCACAGTCTGAGTCTGGGCACAGGATCAAACACCGCCCAGCAGGTCTTAAAGATACCAAAAAATACGCCATGTAACTAATCAACATGGTCAGATTCGATCAGTAGTTTTTGCATGTGTTACAGGCAAGCGCCACCACTTGTAATTCGACGATCTTTGACGTTCACTTTGGTGTCCTGTTCTAAGCCGAAATGTCGTGCTATCCAAGTCACAAATGTCGTGCTGCTGACCTTCATCCATTTGAACCTCTAGAACCTTGGACGTGAGGCCGTCCAGTGCGCGCTGGACGCTCTGCATCCGGTCGGCATCGGAGCGACTTCTCACCAGCATTGGGGCGGCCTGGCTGATTGGAAAGACCAGGGCTTTACTGAACCATCCATCCACCTTCATCTCTTGAAAACCAAATCAGTGCTCCCAATTATCCAAACAGCGTAGTGGGAAACAATTACAAAAAGACATCGCCGGGCTATGCTTTCCATGCGTCGACTCCAGATGGCTCCAGGCTTTCCATGCCCTTGCGCAGCGCTTGAGCTGCTCGCCACATCGCAGGCAACTCGGCCAATCCATAGAATTTGCACATCAAAAGCACGGAGGAGTTGAATCGGACATATCGTGAGCCCAGGAACGCTCTCATGGCCAACCCCCATGGCGTCTTCACATTGAAGAGTGCATCCTTGCTCGGTGGCCGCTGGGCATTGATGGCCTCCAGCAGGTAATGTTGGAATTCAACCCACGCCTCCTCATCCAGGAAGGAGGATAATGTTTCTGCCAAGTCAGCTGATGAGACATCTGAGAAAATTTCTCGGCCAAGTCGTGTGCGAAGAACCTCAGCCGCTCTCTTTGGGAAGCCCATGGTCTGGAACACCTCCGGCTTCTTCAGTTCAGGGAAGGCTTGGAAAACCAGTTGGAGCAGCTGTTCAACATCCTCCTTGCTTACAGCAGCGTCCATCACCTGTCATCGCCGGAGTGGGAAACGTGTATTGTGGGGGGAGTTGAAGGGCACTGCTGCAACATGTTGCGCACCTCCAAGAAGCCTTGACCATCGTTCGTGTTGACATATAAGCAAACGTGTGCAAAAAGACTTTGCACACGCTTTTGGAACCAAACGTGGAATCCGCCCACAGGCGTGCTATTGGGACTCTTTCCGTCGAGCTCTGCATTTTAGCAAAAACATCCTATGCATATAGGTTTGCTAGGGGAGGCCTTTTTTTCCCGCGTGCGTGGCTATGGTTGAGCTGCAGGGCCACTGGGGAGAGCGCTTTGGAGGAGTTGTTGTGTTTTGGGGCGGTTGCTGCGTTGGTTCTTGCTCGGCAGCAGGGCCACTGGGGACAGCGCTTTGGAGGTGTATTTTGGATGGCTTTTGGCAACGCCGAAGTTGTATCACCATTATGGGCCCCAAGGTAGACGAAGTTGGCCCCAAGATGGCTCCAACGCAGCCGTAAGACAGCCAACCTGGCGCCTAGATGGCTGCTCTTGTCCCCCATTTGGAGCCAAAATAGTTCGCAAAAGCTCACTTAAAATCCAGGTCCTGCTGGGGGAGGGCCGAACAGAATCTGACAGATAGCTTCAATGCCGACGTTGTCTCACCCAAGCTGATCCCAATTAGCGTCATTATGGGCCCCAAGGTAGTCGAAGTTGGCCCCAAGGTGGCTCCAACGCAGCCGTAAGTTCGTGCGCGGTGTGGGCGGCTGTCGACACGAAGCGTCTTGAATAATAACATCCCATGCATGTGACATGGCTGTCAGTCGAAACTCAGGTGGCAAACTATGCTGGAATACCTCCCTGGTAGTCAATTTCGTCCTATTTTCGATGCAATTATGCCACCGAATCCATGCTCGCAAGCACTTGTCATGCCAATTCACATGCTTTGCCGTTCAATACTCGCTCTTACCTTTTTGTCTGACTGCCTTCTATGTCTTTCTGTAGTGGTGGTTTGCAAGAATACACCCCAACACTCCTCGAAGGAATCAATGGTGGCGTGTAGCCAACAAAGGCACAACATGGCACAAGTATCTTTGGTTTTGACCCACAGGTGGGTGTTACCTTTACGCTGTGCCTGCGAGCACTTCTTCAGCTCTTCCTTCTTCTGGCCTTGCAAGGCGTTCAGAACGTCCTGCGAATACGCGGGGGGTCGTGGTGTGACATTCGATGGGAAGCCGGCGCCGCAGCCGTACATTCGTCAGTGAGCACTATGGCTCCATGAATTTGAGAAAAACACTAGTAAGTCATTAGAAATTCTAGCTGTAACTTTGGAGAACTCCGTCCTGGATGATTGAAGCAGCAAACATTTCATTTGGAGACGCGGTGCCTCTCTGGACTTTGCGCATCAAAGCAGGAACTAGGAGGAGCACTTCAGCTGGAATGAACTCGAAGACGCTCGAATCACTCTGGCCAACTTCTGCGTGTTGAAAGAGTGGCTGAAGTTTTTGGAGTATTGCCAGCAAGGGTTCGACAGCCTGGTCGACCAAAGACTGAGCCACAAGTTGCTGTCCACTGCTGAATGCTTTCATCTTCTCTTTGAACATCGCAGCTGCAGCTGGGAGCGTGTTCATGAGCCCTTCGATGCCGTCACGAAGAGACTGCAGCAAAATCTGAGGTGCTCCCTGCATGAACGCAGACAAGTTCTCAGGTAGCTGAATCAAATCTGGTGAAATCTCATCAGCTTCGAAGACTTCCTCCGTTTTGGATGGAGTGTTTTCACACGGGTCCCTTGATGCAGCCTGCAACGGAGCCTTGTAGAAGCACATCATCTCATCAACAGTTGGGTCATATGGCTCCATCTCAAAAAGCCTCGCAACACTACATACTGGCCATTGCACACTACCCGTCTTCTGAAGAACGGTTTGGGTCAAACATCAGGCTTACTAAAGGCAAAAACAACTCTTCCTGCAGAACATCCCCTCTGACAGCCTTCCCAGGATGATGGTGAACACAAATGACCCTAATGTATATAGACTCTGAGACTCTTGATTAATTTCAAAGCCTCCCCAGGCCCTTGGCCTGAAGAGGTTTTATACTTCAAATCCGGGGAGTTATTCATCAAGAGTCTACATTAGGCGACCAACTAAGACCCAAACATAGAGTCCTCCAAGCCCGCACTCTTGAGAATTTCTCGCCACTCGGAAATCGACCGAAAGGCTCGCAGTTCGCGCTCTTCCTCCTGGACAGTTCTGAAGCCGAAGAAGAAAAACACCGGAAAATCTCGTCGCTGACGGACCGATGCATGGTTGGTGAGGTGTGGGTCGCATTGGACAAACACTTGGCCAAGAGGGAACCAATGGAGCCAGCAATGGAACCAGTGGCATCACAAAACAACCAAAGAGGTTGCAGTACAAAGTTTGACAAGTTGACAAATGTTCCACACCAATGGACACTTATGCACCCATATCCTTGTCAGTAACTCCCATCACTGCATTGAAAACGCTGTGGGCCAGGTCGAGCATTGGCATCAACTCTGGAGAAGCATCGTGCTCACGGACGATGAAGAGTCCTCCTGGACGGAGCACTCGAACCACCTTCGGGCCATGTTTCAATTTTGTCAACCCCTGCGCAGTCAGAGAACCTCCTGACTGGTGTCTTGAAACTGGATAGATGGTGGAGCGAATAAGAGTATTCAACATACAGTACTATACTTTTCAATTCAAATCAAGAATATAATAAAACATATATTATATACATGTATACTCATATACCTGCTTATGCACTGCACATGCCCGTGGATCACCACCCTAGATGGGGCGTTTGGGACACTGGGCCTCTTTCAAGAAAAAGGGCAAGCGCTGCTGCGGAATGTGGTGGAGGCCCTGCATCATGGTGACCAGGTCGACTGAGCCGGTAGGCACTTCAATGAAGGGACCTGCGTCTAAGAGCTGCCAGGTAACTTGGATGCCAACAGCATCCAAAGAACCTCGTTCAACGACGGCAGGGATGTCATCTGAGTAAGTGTCGTGAGCAACCCAGCATCGCCCCTTCATTTGCAAGGCCTTGCGAAGAGGTAGGACCATTCGACCAGGATCCCCGACTGAGAGGTAATCTTGCAACTGCCCAAACTTGCCCAGGCGGGCCACAATCGCACAGACTTCTCGCGTCAATTCCTTCTTCTGCGCCGAAATCTGCTTAAGCTGCTTGACAGTTTTCATCCCAGCAGCCACAGGTCCAGTGGATTCATTCAAAAGCCTCTGTAAAGCTCGATAAATCTCAATATCGTTCGTGTTCTCTGGGTCGCGGGTGGCCTTCACCATCATCCGGAAGAGCTGCTCATGGTCCATGACATTGAAGATTTGCGTCAGGAAGCCATCCTTGAAGTCACGACGTAGCCTGGGATCGTCCATGAGCTGTCGGAAGGCATTGGAGCGCCGGGCGGGAACAGCTGGAACGTCTGGGATGGACTGAAGTTCAGGGGTATCGAACTGGGCGTCTGAGGGCATCTTAGCTGCGAGAGGCTTGGATAGTGTGACCAGGAATGGTTCGGACAGGTACTTGGTGCCATAATGCCGAAACCACAAGCTGTCAAAAAGGCCATCAGGGTCATAGATTTCCTTCTTGGAGAAGAAGTCCTTGATCCGAGGGTATGCCTGCTCAAGCTGCTCGTGGCTGTAGTGGCAACCTTGGCTTCAAGAAGCCAACTGAATCCAACTGGGTACCGGACCAACACTTACTGTATCCAAAAACCAATTGGTTGGGGGCGTTAGCAATTGGAAAACATGTCACCCGCATTGCATTGTAAATACAGCCGGAACGTCAAGGACGAGTTTTGTGCATTGTGTGGGGAGGCTGACTCCAAGGAGCATCGGGTGTTCCATTGCCCTCATTTATCTGACCTGCGTGATCAACACTCATCGTTATTTGCGCAGTTGCCTCAATGCTCACAAGCCTTCTGGAATTTCGGGATTTGTTCCTCAGAATGGGCTGGTTGGTTGTTGAAAATGGATCTGCCCTCAGACCTCCCGGAAGTTGTATTGCCTGACCACGGGGGTTCAGTGAACGTGTTTACTGACGGGTCCGCCTTCTTGCAAGATTGTCCCCAGTTCACCATCGCAGCTGGGGCGGCTATCTCTGTGGTTGGGGCTGATTATCACGTCGTTGACGCTCAGATCTGGCCCGGAGCTGACCATAGTTCATATCGGGGTGAAGTGTGGGCAATATCGTTGGCATTGCAGCGTGTTTGGGCTCCTAGGTTTTTCACCGATTGCTCAGCAGTGTGGTTTCGTTGTTCCAGCAGATGTTGATTGCTCGGCAAATGGGTTTTACCTTCAAAGCCTGTAAGCATTGGGATCTTTGGGAACCTATTTGGACTCATCTCCGATCTCCTTCTTCATCCTGCGGGGGGCGGTGACGATTACCAAGGTCTCTTCCCATACCCAATGGTGGCTTGCATCATCAGAGTTTGATTGGTGGTGTGGACAATGGAATGACATTGTTGACAAGACCGCTGAGAGGGTACTGACAAGTACACACAAAGATTTCCTTGATAAATTGACCAAGTTATTTCATGATGCGGAACGAAATGCTGCGTTCTTGATTGATTTTCACCAGTCTTGGACCGCTGCGGGCCATGTCACAAAAAGATGATGGACAACGATCTGCCGGCTCCGTTCCTGATTTTGATGGAATGTATATGAAACAAGGGGGCGTTTGTACTCTTGCCCAGGTACAGTGGTGTGCCAACATTGATGCACCATTCGGTACCACTTTTTCAGAACGATTTTCCGATGGTTTCAGAGTGTCTCTTTGATTCCCGGTGGTGTTGAGGAAAGCTCTAGCCTGTTGGAACTCTACATTTCCTTTGCCCTCGATACTCGCACTATGGCTCCGGTCTACTTTCGGTCACTTAAATTTTCAACTGCTAGCCGTCGCTCAGCTTTTCTTTTGAGGGAGGATCATCAGTCTAAGGCCTTCACAAAACAACAACGCACAAGCAACGGCCCGCGAGCGGACCCCATGGCAACAGGGCGATACCCGATAGCAAACGCCACTGCAGCCCTCGAGTTCCTGAACGCGCATCTCACCACTGGTGCAAGTCGCGAACAGTCCATTCAAGCGGATGCGGCGTCATGCGACCTTAATACACAGTTGAGAACATTCGTACAGTTCTTCAAGTGGCCCAATAGTCACTGGCATGTTTCCAACCTTGATTGTGGCCGGGGTCGGCTTCGCAGCTCGGTTACCTGTCGGCTACGACCTATGTGTGTGGCCAATTCGTTCTACCAAACGGTCCTTGTGTTGGCAAGACACTTTGGGACTATTTCCATCGTAGTCGTAGATCTACATACAATTTGAAGGCGCCGTGGCGCCCAGTTGCAACAGGTGGCTCCGCTACCTGACGTGAGCGGGGTTTTCACCTTGCTGTTCTTTTGCATGTGCTGAGGATCTTTTCAACTAGACAATCATGTCTGCCTTACGCTTAGCCGAGGGTAGCCATTGCACGCGATGCGTGTGTTAAACGACAAAGGCCAAAAACCCATTGGTTGGGCATCTCCCTATAAAAATGCACACCCCGACACCCCAACGTTTGTTGGCCCGGGGTTGTGCTTTAAGTTACATGTTCACTCTAAACATTTAGACTAAACATTTAGAAGGTATCAGGTTCAGTCTAGCATGCAAAGAACACCTCACTTTCGATGAAATCAGGGCTTCTCCCCCTCAACTGAGAACCTTGTTCGGGAGGCATGTTTCCGAATCGGCAAGCCGAGCAACGGTACGGCAAGTAGAAGCTTCCGTCGAGTGCCAGCGTCTGTTCCACAAATTGATTGTGAAAGTCTTTCAAGCAAGCGTCCGCATGAGGTGTGCGGGGCAAGCGAAAATAGAGCACGAAGGCGAACATATGACCTTTCGCATAAGGCAAGAAGGTGTCGACATCTTTCTTGACAAAGCGGATGGTCGTATTCAGCAGGATCACCTCGGAGGTGGCTGCAAGGGCGCGGTAAATTTGCTTGGTCCTGGCAATCCAATCCTTGAACTTCTCCTGGCTGGCGATTCAGACACGCTTGAAAGAGAATTGAAAGATCTGCCGCAAATCGGGAGAAATCATCCCACATTTATCGAACATTAGGGGAACACAAACAACTTAGCCGCCCAAAAAGTCTCCTGAGGGCAGAAGTATTCTTGCAACACGAAGGTGTCATCAACTTGGAAGAGGGGCTCATAAAGCTGAGCGAGGGGCACAGCACTCTCGTGTAGCATGTGATTGCGTTCAGTCTCATTGCCCCAATCGAGCGCTTGACCAGAACGCTGTTCAATCGCATAGCGCACCTCCTTCATTGCAGGCATGAGCCATTTGTACATGAGCTTCGATTGCCAGGACATCTCCCTCGGCTTCTTGCTGAGGTTTGAGACCAATCGCACTTCCTCATCATGACTTCTTCGGAAAACAAAGAAATCAATGTGGTCTGTATCAATGATGTTGAGTCGGGCAAGCTTCATGACAACATCGTCAGATGCCTGAGCTGCCGCATGGTGCCTCATGAATTCCTCACAGTTGAGGTGCAAAGATTCCATGTCCATGCGGCTGTTTCGCACCACACGCATGGTGACTTCCCACATGATGCCGAAGAGGCCATACCTGCGCAGACCGCGCGTTCTGAAGAGGGTCCCCATATGGTTGAAGGATTCTCAGGCCTTGTTCGGCCTAGAGGGATTAGTGTGATTAGGGCCCTGCTCCAGTCCGGCCAACTCCGTACAGAACTAGCAGCGGCTCCGCTGCTGAAAGGGGTCAGTTTACCACATTTAGCCACTTGTGAGGTCGGCACGGTGCAAGCTTGGCACAACCCTGCGACCACACGACTGGATGTTGAAAAAGGAAGGAGATGATTGGGCGACGATTGGGCGACCGAGCGGTGACCAAGGCACCCTCCAAGGGCCAGGCTAAAAAGCTCACCCTCCTCTCCAGTTGCACCGCGTGAGCAAACAACTTCCTCCAAAGAGTCGGAAGCGATTTCCCACCATCTTGTCACCAAAGGAATGTAGGAACACAGTCTTAGAAACAACCTTCATCGATGTCATGAAAGCCCACGGTGTTTGTGTTTGAGATCAAATGCTGTCTTTTCAAGGGCTTCCCTTCTGACATGTAGGGTATGTATACCTACGTGACCACGTCTAGCGACCAAATAAGTGGACACAGATTCAACACATACTCAACATACCTCAACATTGGGATCGACATGAATGGACTTTTAACAATTCTAACTGCTTGGGGGCTTTCTTCAAACAAACATCTCTTGAACAAATGCAGGGTTCTTGCCCATCAGCTTTGATCAGCCGGAGGGACTCCACACATTCCGCCAGCGTGAAGTCTGTGGTGATTCCGTGACCATTCACTGCCAAGGTTCCGCCCACTGAAAAGCTAGAGTAGCTCTGCATGGTGCGCGGAGACATCCCAAACTGATTCAAATATACAATCAAATCAGCCCATGTACACCCACACTCGCACACAACTGCTTCTGAGTCAGCATCGAACCGCATTCGCGTCATCTTTGTCATATCAATCACGACTCCATCCTCTGCGATGCTTTGGCCGCCCATGGAGTGCTTGGTGCCTCTCACGGACACTCGTTTTCCATCAGCCCGTGCTTTGACCAAGGTTCTCTTGATATCATCCTCTGTCCGAACATACACCACACGGCTCACTTCTGTGGCATTCATTCGGGTGATGTCATCAACTTGGACCTTAGAACTTCTGGGGTCTGGGTCAGGATCCGGAAAACATGCCTGGCTACTGGGGCCACGAGGTACCACGTTCGGCGTCTGAAGGGTTTGAACCTCCTCCATGGTAGGCGCCCGTTCCTGTGGGTTCCAGCTAGCGCGTTTGAGCTGGGAAAGTCTAGGCAGAAACACCGGCGAATCATCTCAATGTGAAATATGCACAAAGGAAAAACTGAAGAACCACAACAAAACACATTATACTGCAGTGCCAACCACAGTGCTCCACATTCGGAATGTCAAGACTTGGCGCTGATGATCGATTTCTTCTTATGAAAAGGGTTCCTTCTTAAAATCCATCACGTGCTTTCAGCTGAACCCCTTCCAGCTTTGCACACCTCCCAGGTCTGGCAGAGATTTTTCAGGTGGGACGCCTCCCACGTTTTGAGGGAGGCATCTTAGGTGTCTCGAGCCTGGTGGATTGTAAGAGAACTGTGACGGATTGGAGGGTCGGGCAGGAATGGGGCAGCAAAGCTTTGGCTAGAAATCTGAGGAACAGAAACCCACCGCGTTGGGAGGCCGGGCTCGTCGATGAAACCAGTTTGGACACTGAGCGCAGGGGCAGGTGAGGGGGCATGCGCCTGCTGCATCCCAATCCCAAACGCCCAATGGGTGATACATTGATCCGAATAGCCCTGGAATCAAAATCAGAGGGGCCATGGGGCACCTAACTGACACCAACCACCAACCATTCCCAACGACAAGCTGGTGCTTCAACTTTCCACTAGCTTCTGTAAGATTCTACGGGCTTTCAGGATCAGCTGTGCCAACCTGCTGAATCCATAACTTGCTGATTGGCCACACGCCGCCAGCTTTGTCTGGTCTCCTCCTCTTCTCCTCTCCTCACACGAGCCTAAATAGCTGAATTCAGCGCGAAGAGCCATGGTCCTTCGCAACAGTGTCCATCTTGGACAAGTACAGTACAGGTGGTAGGGTGGCTCTGGGTGAGATGATGCCCTATGTATTCACGTATTCAATATCCTATACCTGAAAGGCCGAGCAAGTGATGGCATCGAGGGAAATCAAGAGCACTCGACTCGCTATGATTGTGAGCTGCGGCCTCAGGAGCAAAGTCTTAAAAGTTCATACTGTAATCATATTTTTATGAAAAGTAAACAATACAAAAGCAACACAAAGAAAATGCAAAAAACAATAAAAGGATAAAAAAGGCATGACAGTAGGACAGTCACAAAAAAACACAAACGGACTGGACAGCCTGCGATAGAAACCAGCACTTCCAGAGGAAGCAAGGAAACACAGCATTTGTCAAAGAGGCACTGCAACAGGGAACCGTTCACTGATTGAAACCCAAGTAGAGGCTGCATGTGGCATAGACAAAGGCGATCACTACAAAGCAACAATCACGCAAGAGGCACATTGAGAATAGACCAGTTTTTTTGAGCATACGTCCTATCCAGTAATTGCTAGCCAGCCGGGGAAGCAACAAGGAAGGAATGTTAGGTCATCCCAGTAAGAGGGCAAGTGAAGAGCGGTCATATCAAGGCCTTCCTTGAATATGTCTCCCTATGTGTGTTTCTATTTTTCCCTTTCTTCATTTGTCGTGTTTGCGTATTATTTTCGTTTGGTGTTTTCCGAGGCAAAAAAGGATGAATTTGCGTTATGTTTGTATTAGTTTTGCATTCCGAAACAACTATGAAAACAATAGAAGAAAAGGTACGACAAACATATGAAATCAATACAAAAGCAATACAAATGCGCTCGAACAAAAATAGGAAACACATACAAAAAATAGGACAAAATAGGAGCGCAAATACCGTCGGGGAACCCCAGCACAAAAGGCAAACGAGGTCTTGCGGACCGCTTTTTAAAAATTGCCCAAGAGCAGGAACAAGAATCATTCATAGGCTGTTCGTGGATTTTAATCTTAAAGAGTATGGCTTGACAAGGCGTCCTGCTCTTGTTTGAAACTCTGGTGTTCGAAAGTGGGTGCCAAGCCACCAACATTGAAGTACACAAGACCTAGCACAAGTTCCATTTTATGTGAGAACTGTTGGAGGGCTCCTGTTCAGGGCCTTCTTCTCTTGCGAGGCTTCTTGGTGTCAGGCAGCAACCTAGTGTTCATGCTCATTGTGAACTGTGTGCCCTATTCTGTGCATTTTCTTTTGTATTAGGTTTGCATTTTTCTTTGTATTCAATATTTTGTATATTGTTGTAATCCTTTTGTGTTTTTATGATTATGGAGTTCATTATAGTCAGCTTTAATCCGGGTCACAAGGCTATGACATCCCGCTTGGTGACACCCTCGTTTTGCACTGGTGACACGTTATACTTTGTCATTGAGCAAGCCAGATGGTGACACCCACACACACTTAGATTGGTGCTCGCAAGAGCTAAATCAGTTCATGGCATGCAGCATGCACCAAGATTCGGAAGGAGTTTCAAAGGAGTTGCGTCGATGTTCACGGGCTTAGCACGGACTTGCTCTTGGAGCGTTCAAGGATGGTGAACAGGGAAAGGAAAGAAGGAGTCAAAAAAGAAGGGGACTAGACATGGTGGTGTGAAAACACAAATACTATGGACATCTATGGACTGACACGGACTGACCAACGGATGGAGACGTCCAAAAGGCCCATGGAACCCGGTCCCCCAGGGAGGAGTCTCGATGGTGCTCATGCGGGGCTCCGTGGAGTGAGGCGGCTCCGTGGAGTGCCGGGCGGTTCAGTCGGGACTTGCTGGGCGAGTCAGCTGAATGCATCGGATTTCATCCACCAATTCAGAGACCTGAAATCACTGAGATAGCCTGAGTGATTAGGAATGCTTGGATGAACGGATGGCACAATTCCTTGGATCTTTGGGTCTGGCTTCTTGCAATGGTAGGATGTATCTGAGGGCATGAAGATAGCGGATTCTGATGTTCAGGCCCTTCGTGCGACTCAAGCCGTTTCGAGAAGCGGCATGTTGCGTGATTGCATCTGATTTTGCATCATGTTAGTGTTGTCGTCCAGGCATTGTTCCCAGAGCATGAAAGAACTCGTTCCATCGTCTGACTGCACAACTTTTCATTCTAGGAATCCAGCACAAGCGCAAGGGCTGCATGGAGCTGAGCATATTGACGCCAAGCCTTCATATGTTCTGCCTAGTTGCAACCTTTCATCTAGCCTGAAAACACACACCCGAAAGCGATGCTGCAACATTGATATACATTGATCTCCTTTTCTGAAGCGGAACGGTATGATTGTGTGCCACTACTTTGTCGCCCAGAAATTGAGCGAGGACTGCCACTACTGTGCTATAGCTGTCAGTGTCGGGAACGATCCAGACAAACACTGCCTATATACATCTGCCTACTCATCGCTGACCAGCAGGGTGGTTTTCTTCGGCCCAGGTAGACCCGACTTCTTTTTCACCAGTGGTTCCTCCAGGCCACTTTCAGAGACCACCGGTCCCACCGCCTTTGCTTCGGCCGCTTCCTCCTCATCCTCCGGCATCGGCGAACGTGGCCCGAAGCGCAGGATGGCCACCACACCCGCCACCCCGAAGAAGGCCACGAAGTACATCCCGCCACCACAGCACATGCCCACGGCACAGGCGAGCCACACGCCACACGCCGTGGTGAGGCCCTTAATTTGTCCTGAATCCTTGAAGATCAAAGCTCCACCCAAGAACCCCACTCCTGAAGGCAAGGCGGCAGAGACCCGTGAGGAATCCCAAGTCTGGGTTCCGGCTTCGAAGGCATAGAGCGATCCAATGGTGAAGATGCATGCGCCCAAAGACACTAAGCTCATCGTGCGGACACCTGCACCTCGATTGGATTCTCGACGTTCAAGTCCCAGCAAGGCACCGACCACCAAAGAGAAGGTCATCCGACGAGCAAACTCGGTCTCTTGCTGCGTCAGGAACAGAAGCTGCGGCCAACGATGCCCACGATATTTCCAGTCGTCCGGGAAGAGCACGTTCGGAACCTGAGGCACCTCTGAATCGCCCCCTTTGGCCTTTTGAGCTGTTTCCTGGGCGCACAAAACAGCAAGCTGGAAGAACATGCACTCCGGCAGAATCAACATTTGCGACAATCACGTATGCTACATCATAGTGATAGTCAAGAACTGTCAAGAACCTCCAGCACAGCGTTCTGAAAACAAGCAATCATGATGTCAGCACCCTGCCAACAACATGCAGAACCAAGAGGTTAAAGAAATGAACAGTGGGATCAACCACTTCTGTCAGTGCTTTCTCCGCGAAAGAGATTTCATGGAGTTCCTACTTAGGTTATACCCCCTTGGTCAATTTCCACACTACCACGGCTCAAGCAGGTAGTCGCCCAAGAATGGCTCGATGATCAGGGCGGCGAAGGCGAAGGCGCAAAAGAACACGGACAACACCGACGCCGATTTGAAGGCCAACGACTTTCCCCCAGAGGCAGAGACGGAGGCCGGATTGAAGATGTGCTTGGCCATGCGAGCGGAGAGGCACCGCAACTTGGGGCGAGTGGTGAAGTGTATCTCTTGAGCAAGGGGCACACCATGTCAAGCACGGAGTGTGTTGGTAAAAAAGTGCACGACACGACCCCCCTTATCATCAATAATGCAGTAGCTTGACAGCAGTCACAGAATTGCACTGACCATCAGCCTTCTTGGCAGCAAAACGAAGAGTCAATGGGCTTGAGCTACTTTGGCGATTCACCCTTTGGGAATGCCTCGAATACTGTCGTGCACTGTACATCTCTGGTTCACATATTGATTCAGCCACAAGGCTACCGGCAATCAGCAGCGCCGCCGGTTGCAAGTGCCGGTGACTGGTCCGCAGCGCTAAAAGTAGAGCGACCCCTGGCCAAAATCTGAGATCTCAGAACCCCTCACCCAAAGTTGACATGATATGATGGAAAGTCCACCCTGCACCACCTTGAATACTTATACTATACTCTCGAACCACCCACTGCAACGACCCTTACATAGACTTACAATGGACTGACAAGTCGCACTCTGCGCTGCTCGGACAGGCCTTAGGCTCGGTCGGGCAACCGATGCTCCAGGTGTAGGTGGTCCCCGAAGGGCACACTTGAAGACCAACCTGGATGCCGATGCTCCGTGGTACAGACCAACATCCACCGGCAAAAGCCGCGAACCAACGGAAGAAACGGAGACACAACAAGTGCAAAACACACTTGTTGCCCAGCGGCCGCATCATCATAGGCATATCCATACACGTTTGGACCTTTAGACACGTGCATAAATCATCTTTTATAACAAAAACAAGGCTTGATGCGAGCACTTGGATGAAGCCGAGCCAGCGGCAGCTCTGATGTATCAGCTTCACAAACTGCGTCTGCTCCACTGGGCCCATCCTCCAAACACAAACAAAAGCCGCCCCTACTGCTCTGCTAGGCTGCTCCCACCTGCATGCTTCCGATGAGACCGGAGGCGTGGGGCAACAGAACATCTTGGCCTCCTCACCTCAAGTTTGATGCAGCAAATCCTGCAAGCATGTCCGTGGCAAGCATGGGTGTATCAAACCGTTTTCTTCAGCTGATCATGGATGATTGGATGTGTCTTTTTCATCTTGCACTGGGCCTAGCAACATCTCACAACCATCGCCTAGCAACTCGGTCCAGTCCCGACCGTTTTCTGCCGGGAGGCTGTTGGGAGCATGTGCACCTATGGGGTTGTGCCAATTCCTCGGCCAGGTCCCGTGACTTGACGAAGAACGGTTCCCGCTCGCCACTCCGATGCGAAGAAGGACCCGGAGCCGATGGATGCTGGCGCCGTCCGAAGGTCCGACCTTTCATGATGAGGACCTGCTCGTTGGTGCGCTCACTGAGTCGAGCAGGAACTGTGCGGTGTTGCATGGAAAATGCAGGAGATTGAGGATGTGGGGGGAGGATTCGGCCGTGAAATCAACCCGAAGATATTGTCCAAACCACTACGACGACTTGAGCATATTTAATTACATATTTGCGGAAAGGGTTCATTTGAGGGAGGGTGCCTGCTACGAAAAACATATCCGGAGAACAGCAGCAACAACAGTGCATATGATCCTCCCGCTGCACACATCAATAAACATGGTCGTCTCCGTATGGTCGTCCGCAGTGCACGTTCGCGAACACACCACTGTTCTGTTCGCACAGTCGACGACTCGGTCGGACGCAAAAGAGAAGAAGGCATGATGGAAGATCGCCATGGATTGGTGCTCAAAATGATGGATTCGCACCCAAAAGCAAGGATTCGCATCATGTTGAGGTGTGATCAGTTGCTTCAAGAGGAGCTTTCCACATCCACCTTCCGTCACCGTTTTTCTCACCATTACGCACATTACGCACAACCTGAGCCTCATCGTGCATCGGCCATTGCCTCCTGTGGACCAGAATGCTTCAGTTATCTGGCGGACTCTCCAACGCATTGACCTAAAATGATCTCTTCTTGTATACATGCTCGTCCGAGGGCGGGTGCCGTGCCAAATGAAAGATGACTGGTCTGTGCAGGTGCATGACTGCTGTGGCAGCACAGTGAGCAACAGCTAGTGTGTCATCCAAGGCTCGAGTAAGTCAGCTTTCCACAAGGTGAATAGCAGCCCACCACCTACAGCAAACTGATGCCAGTCACTTGAGAAAACTAGCACCACCAGTCTACCAGCACGTCGGTGAAACATATTGAACAACGTTTTGAGATGTCTGACAGCTGTGATGGTCATCGGCCTTCTTGCTAGCTGGGTCGACGACCCGAAGATCCTGCAAGACGGTGCTGAACCACATAGCTCCATGAAACGTCACACGCGCACGCAAATATATATATATATGTGTGTGTGTATATATATAATATCTATATAATGATCTAAATCTATCTTCTACCTACCTATCTCTCCACAGTATCTCTACTTGACTGTTGCTTTGGTCGCTTGCCTGAGCTCCAGCGGCACCCAAGATTTCACTGGAAGGACATTGGCCCAGTGACAGGCCGAGGCAGTTGATGTTTTTGCCCTGCCCAGGACGAGGCGTCACCCGGTTTCGATTGGATTTCTGGGGATGAAAAATCATGAGCAAATCGGATTTCTGAGGATTTCTGCTGCCCACCTGAGGGCACTTGTCGACTTTCACTTCATAAGGAAGCCTCAGGGCTTCGGTGACGAGCGCCGCACAACCGGGTTTGGGTGACGAACAACATCTGCCGAGAAGCGAAAAACCATCCACGGCACTGGTGTCCCACCAATCACAGCCCTCCAAAAGCCGGGACGGAAAGCCAAACAAAAGGGATATGGATGTTACAAAAACGGGAGGGGCCCTCCAAACATGTCAGTCATCTCTTTGGAGCCACCGGACCGGTGACACATGAGACCTCTTGGGATGAGCCGACCACCTAGACTTGACCACTACTTCCCACCTTGTTGTCCACTGCACAGTCCACGCCAAGTGCTCCGAAGCTCGCCTCCGGGCGCGTGCTTTCTTTCGCACGGGCGCTTGGGCCGGGAGGTGGAGAAAAGGAATGGCGGGCGTCTGCGTGGGAGGATCTAAAGGAAGATAGTTCAAGACTACCCTTTCGTGGCTGGTCATTATGGAGGTGGTGGATGGGCAGCTGCAGCTGGCAAGTGCCGAAACGTCCATTCTCCGACGGGAAAGAGCCAAAGGAAAAAACGGGGTTCTGAAAACCGCAAGCTCCTGTTGCTCCAAACACTGCATCAACTATACAGTGGACGTCAGTTGCACATCTAATTAGTCTTTGGGTGGAGGCTTCAAGACTTGAGGCCAGAGGGGGTGAACGAAAGCTAGCCGGGCCTCCTCGTCCAAACAAGTCGGGGGCGGGCTGCACAGTCACTCTCATTGGGTAACTGCCGGTCCACTTGCAAGTCCCGTGGGAAACTCTAGAGAAGCAGTGTTAGTATGTGCTTTGTGGCGCGTCGAGTCTCACTCAGTAAGCAACTGCCACCTGACAGGAGCAGGTTTTGTTTGGTGCCCCCTTTCCATCACTTCTTTGGCTTGGTTTTTCCAGCGGTTGCTGTGCCGCAGCAGCAGCAGACCACCCAGCGGCAGCGGCAGCGGCAGCAGCGGCAGCGGCGGCAGCGGCAGCGGCAGCAGCGGCAGACCTCCCAGCAGCAGCACCAGCAGCAGCAGCAGCAGCAGCAGCCCACCCAGCAGCAGCAGCAGCAGCA